TCACAAGTCAAGAAAGCATTTTGACGACGTGTCCATTGTAATCTTTGCCTGTTGTTCAAATTTTCTAGGATCTAGACCACGTGAGCAGTGAGCGCACGCTCTTAGAATAGAGTTAAGGTTTTGCACTATTTTTACCGGAGTGATCACTCGCTTCAGTTTAAACGTGTAAGAGGAGAATGCGATGAGAAAAGACGTTAGTATCTTTTCATCCACAAAGGCCAGGACCGCCCAGAGGTCGTCAGGTGGTGGCATTCAGAATCCCTTAAAACATCGTCTACAAACTGGATTGAAACTCCACACCCAGCAGCAACATTTTGTTTCTCAGAGCCACTTTGTTCATAAGAAATAACTCTTTGAGTTATCCCTTCTGTAATTCTATAACAAGCCGTTTACACTAGACACACAATAGCATGAATATAATCAATTGATGCCGATAAGGGGCACAACTCCACGCGCCACTAAAACAGCAGACGTAAAGTGACTTAACTGAAAGTTATTGTGGTGGAGCTATATTTTTGTCGCACACCTTCCATGAAAAAAAAAAACTCTGCGGCTAGACGGAAATGCCGCCTCTACATGTAAAGACAAAAGTGCAGCCCTGGGCGCACGGGCGCCTCTGCACACCCCCTTTCCTATGCGACTGATTGTTTTTTTTTATTACTTTTTCCAGTATAAAATGTGAATTGGTAACTGTGTAAAGGTGTCGGAGCTACGATTAATTTGTTCATGAGTTTGTAGGTCATTTACAACTGAGAAACATTTGACACAGACATAAAGAAAAGTATGTTTACATTACGTTTAGAGAAACTTACAAAAAGTATGTGGAATTATATGAATGAATCACTATCTTTCAGATAAGAATCTTCCTTCAGATGCTGTCCTTTACCTGATATTATAAAAGAAATCCATTTACTTTCCAATAACACGCGTCTTCAGATGATCAATACTTGACCCTCAGCTCTGATTTTTTCACAAAACAAACCCTAGTAGGTCTATTATGTCTATTTGATTACGTTTCCCGGCTATGGAAATTGTTCTTGCCTCTCAACAATTTAATGGCACCATGACTTAAGATCAAAGGAAGCTTATTGCAGAAAGAATGGGCCATTCAGATTTATAGCTGATTACTTGTGCATCAATGCTGGCCTGGTTTATTTCTATCGCTTTCTATTGTTTGTGTTTGGCCACCATTACGTTCTAAACATGCAACACAAGGGAGTAAGATGTCTTTGAGTCTTAATGCACAAGAACACATTCACATATAATATGATCTAAATATATCCCAATACAACACGATATAAACACATTCACATGCAACATGATATAAACGTATTAACATACAACACGATATAAACACATTCACATACAACACGATGTAAACACATTCACATGCAACATGATATAAACACATTCACATACAACATGATATAAACACATTCACATGCAACATGATATAAACACATTCACATGCAACACGATATAAACACATTCACATGCAACACGATATAAACACATTCACATGCAACATGATATAAACATATTAACATACAACACGATATAAACACATTCACATACAACACGATGTAAACACATTCACATGCAACATGATATAAACACATTCACATACAACATGATATAAACACATTCACATGCAACACGATATAAACACATTCACATGCAACACGATATAAACACATTCACATGCAACACGATATAAACACATTCACATGCAACACGATATAAACACATTCACATACAACATGATATAACACATTCACATACAACACGATATAAACACATTCACATACAACATGATATAAACACATTCACATGCAACATGATATAAACATATTAACATACAACACGATGTAAACACATTCACATACAACACGATATAAACACATTCACATACAACACGATATAAACACATTCACATACAACACGATATAAACACATTCACATACAACACGATATAAACACATTCACATACAACACGATATAAACATATTAACATACAACACGATATAAACACATTCACATACAACACGATATAAACACATTCACATACAACACGATATAAACACATTCACATACAACATGATATAAACACATTCACATGCAACATGATATAAACATATTAACATACAACACGATATAAACACATCCACATACAACACGATGTAAACACATTCACATACAATACGATATAAACACATTCACATGCAACACGATATAAACACATTCACATGCAACACGATATAAACACATTCACATGCAACATGACATAAACACATTCACATGCAACATGATATAAACACATTCACATGCAACATGATATAAACAGAAACCAAGTTGATCCGTCAAACGTTCTCATAAATGACATCAAATATTTGAGTCAGAGACTTGTTAAAACCCCCTATATCTGTTAAAACCCCCTCTGTCTGTTAAAACCCCCTCTGTCTGTTAAAACCCCCTCTGTCTGTTAAAACACCCTTATCTGTTAAAACTCCCTCTATCTGTTAAAAATCCCCTCTATCTGTTTAAATCCCCTCTGTCTGTTTAAACCCCCTTATCTGTTAAAACCCCCTATATCTGTTAAAAATCCCCTCTATCTGTTAAAATCCCCTCTATCTGTTTAAACCCCCTCTATCAGTTAAAATCCCCTCTATCTGTTTAAACCCCCTCTATCTCTCCTTAATTCCTGCTGTGTATTTCGTATCGAATTGTCACAGAGCGTATGCCCCATAATTTCCACGGGCAAGAAATCCGTCCCTAAAATAAACAAACGTCCAATGGCAGGGATTGGGGTGGAGAAGTGGGGGGGGGGGTGGTGGATGAAAGTGTGTGAAAGAGAGGGAGGTGCCGATATCTAGAACAATATTTCATATAAGACAATCCCATCTCCTCTTTGTCCCCCCTCCCCCCAACTTTTAACAAAATGTGTACACGCCCACTTAAAGACAGACAAGAGGATTGGGAGATATGTAGAGCTAAGGCCAAGTCCAAGCCGCCACCATTGCTGAGGTTTGCAACCGCCCCACGCTACCACCTAAACCACTGTCTTAACAAACTCATTGCGGCGGACCCCAAAACGATATTAGGTGGTTCGAGATTAGTGTGCCAATAATAGATTCCACCTTAAAGCTCTTCGGTAATTGTCCGGAGAACTCTGGTATTAGTCATTGGTAATTGACCTGTGGAAATGACAACCTGTCCCTTTTATAACAACTAATTGAACTGTGCTCGGCAATGCTAAGTGATGTAATAATATGAAGGCAATGATATATTAAAAAACTAGGACGAAAAGCCGTCACTTAGTGCAACTGAAATCAAATGTGTGAAACTGCACGTATAAAATGATCAAATGACACGCAAGTATAAGAAACCCACTCAAGGGTGTCCCTAAATACAATAATTTTATTTAAAAAAATTGTAAAAAATATTTTTTTTTTTAAAATCCCAATAGAATGTCAGCGATCTAACATGTGGTTTAGGAATGTGGTCCTCTGGTGCAAAATGTTGGGAACCACTTCTCTATATTTCTCACTCAAAGCATAAATTAAGCTTAAGTCAGAAACAATTTAATGAGGGAGAAAAAGGGAAAACAAAAAATGGAATCCGGAACGAAATCAATTACCCTAATGAACTCCCGAGTGGACCGATTCTCGGTTAAAAGAATCGATACCAGTCAAGTATTGGCACATATGCTAATGACTGGATGAATTAATGAAGCTTTTGTGGGCGGGCTGGTTGGAGTCGAATACAGGATATAGGAAGTAAGAAGTCAAAGTGATCCGTAACAATGGTTATGGAAGGTACATTGGTGGCATTCTTCTGTTGGGAGAATGAGCTTGGTGTGAGCGCTACTAGAGCTTATTTCTAAAACAATGTCCAATGTTTAATGCTCTTGGTTGGAGAGTTTGGGAGAAAAAACTTTACACCGATGAAGTGGGGTTCCCACGATGAGACAAGTGCATACAGCATGCTGTTCGACACCATATGAAGCCAGGGATGAAGTGGGGTTCCCACGATGAGACAATGGGAGTCGCTTAGTCGATTGATTTGTCACGTGATGTGAGTAAAAACAAGTAAGACTTCCGGTAGGCTGTCTACAACACACTAGTGCTTAACAGTAGCCCGATACACACTACAACTACACTACATTTCGTCCAATGAAAATTAACAATAAAATAAACAAAGGGGAATGACTCCTGCATCAATATTGAATAAAAACGCAAATGACGTCATGAGCACGCACGGAGCTCAACAACATCCTACCGATAATAGTATTGATAGTTCCCATCGAATATCGCTCACAAGTTTTTCTTGAAATAACTTTCTTCCTTTAATTATAACTGACGTATATTTATTGTCACATCTATGGATTTCATTTAAAAAATGCTTGCATTCCATAATATTAGGAAAGGTAAAATTTTTAATTAACATAACATTGGGGAAGCACTGATGAAGTATCTTTTGTTGTGTGTTGCAGCCTGGTGATGACTTACTCATATCACGTGACCAAACAAGGAAGTGACTAAGCGACTCCCATTGTATTCAATTTGTAAGGCACACGAACTTGTATTACATAATAAGTGATGGACTGCATTCATGTTGTGTAAATGAAATATAAGAACAAGGTATGCTAAACTGGAATTCATAGACAGGACAAAAGATCTGGACGTTTTGGCTTATAGCCTTCATTAGGAAACATGACCAAAAAACAAATGTAGAAAAAGTTACAGATCACTGTGAAGAAAAAAAACTTAAGAGATTTCCTTTTGTTGCCGGAAGTAGGATACAGGAAGTGAAAGAATATAAATAGTGGTACTGTGAAGAAAAAAAAAATGGGAATCTTAATGGAACAAAATATTAAGGATGCATAAAATCTAAGAAAAAAAAAGAAATACGTTACGTAAACGTAATGACATTGTTATTGAACGTGCTGATAAGAGCGGTACTGTCGTAGTTTAGGACAAAAACATATATATTAAAAGACTATTTTGTTAGGGTCGCTAAGTTGCGCACTTATACTGAACAAATAAAAGCCATAAATTGGGGCGGTGAACTTCCCAGATGTTAAAGTGATTGCCGTTATAGTTACCGAAAACAAAGAGAAATTTTTCTAAATTATATTTCCCAATATTAAGATCAAATACACGACAGGCATAGATTTATTAATAGTTGTGTAATATAGTTATGGCTGTGGTCGTTTGTGGAGATGCTGTTGGATTGCCAAAGTTGAGGCCAAATGTGGGCGCAGTAATGGCTGTGGTCGTTGGTTGGGATTATGTTGTATCGTCAAAGTTGACGTCATCTGTGGGCGCAGTTATGGTTGTGGTCGTTTGTGAAGATGCATTTGGTATGACGAACTTTATAGCTGAGGTTGGGGCATTGCTGCGTGCTTGAAATGTAAAACTTGAAACATCTTTATGGCTCAAATCTTTAGAGGTATCGCCAAATTCGTAGCAGTTACCTATAGACAAAGTAAAGACTTGTAAGTCTGAAGCATAGCAGATCGGAGAGCAAAAAGTTTTAAGAAAACATTAAAATAAAATATTTGCACCAACCTAGAAAGGCGAATAAATCGATATTCTGTTGAGGAAACTGTGTTGGTTAAAGTGGATAAAATAGGTATCTAAGAAGTGTATGAAGGATGCGGAATGTGGATAATGAAATAATAAATTAAGTGATGTATTTGACAGTGAACGAAGTAGAAGGTGTTAGAATAATGATATATATTTATATGTATATATATATATATATATATATATATATATATATATATATATATATATATATATATATATATATATATATTGTAAATGATGGTGATGTTAAAGAAGAGAAGTGTGGATTTGTTGTTGGAAAAGGAATAAGCTTGAAAATTCACATTTAAAGCCTATTGTTGATCTCTTTCTGATTTGATGGCGACTTGATAGAACAGGTGGTGAAGAATCGTGCTGCTTCACGTTCCGGTGTATAGAAGGCTCCGTTCTACACAATTCCAAAAACGTCTACAACATAATTTAAGAGGCGGTCCAGAGAAGTCCGTATCATTACTGAACCACAGTGCTAAAAAATATGTTTGTGCTGAAATGGGTGTATTCTTCATGCTTGTGTGGGTTAACAGGCATAACCTGTAAAATAAATCTAGGACATCTAAAGTTGTCCTCCGTGCGATGTACGAACAGACAAGTCCAGAAGATTGAAAGAGCGGCGGATGTTGCAAGACTGCGACATTTCAAAACCAACAAAATTAAAAAAAATAAAATAGAAGCCTTTCTGGTTCTGGTAATGTTTCGTTGCCGCATCCATGTACTGGCATCTTTGCAATGGTTGGGGTTATGATGTTGCTATTCTAACAGCTCCTAGCTGATGCCAGTGCAGCCTTGAAGCTTTCGACTGATGCCGAGTTCACAGTGGCATCGATCAGGTTGTTCCATGCTATTATTGTGCTTGGGAAAAAAGATTGTTGATACTGCACTGTGTTGCACTGAGGCACTTTGAAGCATTTGCTATTGTTTCTGGTGTAATTGTTTATGGGAAAGTCAGTGGTTAAGTCCGTGTTCAGTGAGCGTTTTGCTCTGATCAGTCTAGCCGGCTTCTGTGGGGTGAGGTACGTGCCTGCTGGGATGGGCGGCACCAGTCCCATGATCACTTTATATTAGAATGCCAGGTGGAGTTCCTCTTTACTGTCTTTAAGGTGAGGGTTGGATTTGTAGTCTCGAGCGATAAAACGCACCGCGTTACGTTGAATTCCCTCCAACGTGTCCACGTCTTGCTTAAGGTGTGGATCCCAGATGACCGCACCATATTCCAGTAGTGGACGGACGAGTGCGAGATGGGCATACGGTTTGCAGGAAGTTGGGCAGTGGTGCAGATTTCTTCGGATGAAACCTAGGTTGGAGTTGGCTTTTTTTGAAATTTTGTTTATATGGGTTGACCATTTTAGATTATTTGAGAAGAGAATTCCAAGGACTATTGGATACATGTTGGAGGATTGTCTCGTTTAGTGAGTAAATATGAGTAGATTTTTTTTTTCTTGAGATTGTCATAGTGTAGCATTTGGTTTCATTAAATGTCATGCCCCATTTGTCCGCCCAATTCAAAAGGCACTTCCAATCTTTATTGTGGTAAGAGGCAAATTAAAGTTATCAAGAACATTAAATTAATTATAAAGATGTTTTTGGTTTCCATTTTTTATGTTAGTATGTTCTAAAGTAAAATCAACTTACCAATTCCTGTAACAGGCTCAACACGCGAGATCTCATTGTTCTTTAACAGATGAATGAAATATTAAATTTTTCTGATTATAGTAATACAGTTTCTCAAATGTAAATTGTTATAGATTCGTGCTATTCACGGGACAGTGGTTACAGCTAAGACATTAAGAATCACTACATTTGATGCAGTTTTTTATACAAGATAGAGCCCTTTAAGTAAAGGCAATACTCTCAAACGCATGTAATTGCTTTATAGACTAAGCTGTTACTTTGTTTTACATAGAATTGTAACACAAACAAAAAAGAATTGTCGTAACACTTCTGGAATAGAAGAAATCGAACTATAAATAGTTTGCAGCTGAAATATCAAATAATTAATCCTGATCTCTTCTGTAGTAACATTATTCAGCACCACCCTAAATATTTTATAGACAACCCAAAGGTATAATTTAACTTACCTCCAAACAATTTCTTCTTCTTGTGGTAATCTTCTGACATAGAATCTTTTTTAACGTCTCCAGTAGATTTAATCTTCTAGCAAACGCGTGACAAATGCCGAACTGTGCAGCAGACGAACACCACCATCGTTTTGAACATTAAAAATAAATATTAAAAAGGTGAATAATTTTTTTGTTGTTTACATATTTATACGTTTTAAAGTTAAAAATTACAATTTTTATCTTCAGTTAATATTTCATGCAATTAAATTGTTACTTTCTTAACGAGTTTAATATATATATATACATCTAGTTAAACAGGACTTATTTCTAACCTGTTACAACAGAGATTACGAAGTACAGAATTTAAAAAAAAAAAAAAAAAAAAAAAAAAAAAAAAAAAAAAATTGATGATAAGAATTCCTGGAACATACCAAATCGTCAAATTTGTCTATGCCGATACTTGAGGCTTTTTCTAACTTCTCCCCGTAGGATTGAATGGAGATTTCAAATTGATTCATCTTAACAGACATTTTACAATAACGCTGCTCTGTGCTCTCGAGGCTCTTTGTCAAATCTTGCATGGTCTCAAGGGCGTGATTTCGAAACATTCTAACAGAAGTGATCTGTTTTTTGAGCTTATTCAGTGACGCGTTAGCAGATTTCTTTTCCTCTTCTACTTTGTTCAACTTGTCATTAACATCTGTTAGGGTTTCATTTAGGTCATCAACAGCTGAAGAAATGGCCTGGTTTTTTCTATCGAGTTCCTGAATTCTTTTTTTGACTTGTTTCTTAAATTTCGATTTTTCAAATTTAAAACGCTCCAATTTGTTGTTGAGCTTGGTTTGCTGAGTCGGGACAGCTTTTAATATCTTATGAACTTTTCCTTGTTGTTCTTGAACCTGCTCTGCTGACTTTTTTAATGAGAGCACGGCTTTCTCTAACAGGTCTAGTCTCATCGTTAAAATATGAGAAGTATCGGCTTCTGATGCTACACTTGTCGGTGAATGAAAGAAGAAATGATTTTATATGTAGCAATTAAGTTTAAATCTGATAGTAACCCTTAATAATGTGCGTGTGTAATGGGATGGTTATGTAATTAGTCATGTTGACTGAAATAAGCTTAAACCATGGAGCAGTTTCCATAAACACATTGTTTAATGCCATGCACTACTATATATCTTAAGGTGAAGAAAATTGCATTAAATACAATGTGTTTATAATTGATGAATCCCGGAGAGTGGACATTATTTTTTTATCAAAGGCATAACATTCTTTAAGTCCATATAAATACATTGAATACAGCGAATACATTGAGTGTTTTACTTGGAAGACAGTATCCATTATTCGTCTCGTCCATTAGACAAGATGATGTAGTTGGGATGATGGGTGGCAGAGCAGTCTAAACTGAATCATTCCAAAAAACCTGGTGGTCTGGAGCTCAAAAACCACCAAATCTTGGAGACGCTAAAACATCCCCAACAATCGTCTTAAAGAAGGAAACTCTGGATTCAAACCTGGAAATGGAGCCCCGTAGGCGGACAACATTGACACAAAGAATATAGCGATGCTAATGGTTCCAAGCTGCATCCTGCGCATATGATAATCCCTTGGGTTAAAAAGCAGAGTGGAGAGAGACAATTAGTTATTCAGGGAACCAGCTTATCGTTCTAAAGTAAAATCCCAGGCCTTGTGTTTTCGTCCAAAAAAATTAATGTTTGTTCTCATTTAGTATCAGAGTAGAATGCAAATATTGAAGTTTACTGGACGGCAGAGATGAGAAAAATTTTTGATCACAACTTAAATAATTATTAATGAATGGCGTCAAAGTTTCTGTTTAAATACGCGAAAAACTCAAGTGCCTAATAGTGAAATAAACATCTTGTAAATGTGTGTTAAATAGAAGAGCAATATACAAAGTCTTTTCTAAATGGGATACTGGCAAACAAAACACTGTTAGTGAGATTTTTTTGTACGGCAATGAAATCAAATTAAAATCTCACTAGTGAAGTGTGTTTCGTGAAATCATATTTTGTCAAGTAACTTTAGTAGCTACGAAGCTCTTTGCGGGATATTATTAGTTTTTCAATTGTAAAATATGTGCCCTGAAAAAATACTGTCAGAAACGTATGGTAAATAGTTAATGACTTGGAATGAATTAAACATTGATATTTGAGAAAGAATTAAACAACACTACCAAAAAAACAAAATTTGGTATAAATCCTTTATAGGCATTAGTGTTTGAATTCTTGCAATGTAAAGAAGGGATTTATCCCTACTATAATTGTAGCAACTGCTTTTGTTATGGGAATGATTATTTTTAAAAATCAAACTTAGTGCTTGTAAAAACAAATAGACTTAATACATATTAAAACCCAAACACTTCACAATACAATAAATCACATAGCAACAGCTAAACAATTCATAGTCACACAAAAACGCTCACCAATGGAACAACACATATTTCAGTCACCTTCCCGTTGAAAAAAAACAAACTAACAGAAACTGATTTTATCGGTTGTTGAAGGAGGTGAGGCTGAAAATTGGACATAACGTTTTGCTATCGGAAACTAGTTTAAGTTCCACGTCTCAGTTCGATAGGAAGACAGGAATGGGTTAGTTAGCCGTTATATTTTTTTTTGTTGCCTAAAACAGTCACATACGAACAAAAGTGAAGTTAATCTAAAGCATACCAACAAGAAGCATATGGCTTCCCCCTCACCGTTTTGTCCCTTAGCTTCGTCTGCGACCTCCCTACTGCTCAACATATTACTTGAGTGTTGTGCATCCAGCTTGTGAGTAGTGGTGGTACTTGAAGAATCCATAGCGTGTGCCGATGAACTCAAATTATGTCCATGATCTCCTTCGTCATCACGTAGACCTTTGGATAAGATATGGCATTGCTAAACATTAACAAGATATCGTATACGATGAAACATTATTTTCAACAACGGAAAAGCAACTTGGAAACGAAAAATGTTCTTCTTGAAAAATTATATTTGAAAAAAAAAATTCTTTTAAATGAGGAAATGTTTTAAAGCGATGGAAAAAAATTCAGTAACAGAAAAGAAGTAACATTATTTCAAAAACTAAAGACAATAGGACTCTTAAAAATTATTATTTCAGTCTAACTATGAATCTTACAGTTAAGTAAGTTAGAAAAGTCTTCTTCTTTTTCTACATTTTGAGGGCCCATGATCAATGCATTGATCAATCTGGCTTCTTTTGAAGTGAAGACAATTAGGCTATGTTTATATCTTAACCAAATGTAGCGATAATAACATACATACATTTATATATATATATATATATATATATATATATATATATATATATTAATTTCGTTGTTTTATCAAATACATACAGGAAAGTTCCACAGACTTTGCAATGAAAAAAGTTATTGCATGATGAATCTTGTTTGAAATTTCTTCACATGTTGCTTGACTGACTTTTCCTCCATTAACACAATAATCTACTTCACTTTGCACCTTCATTTTTAAATATTTGATATAAAAATTATTATTTACTTTATTATTATTATAATTTTATTAGCATTTATTACAACTTACAGGATGACATAACGTGTCGTTTTATATTAAAAATGCTTCTAAAGAAATGAAATATTAAATGAGTGTTATAGATATTTTGAAGTCTTCCTAAATTTTTTTTTATCATATACAATTTAACTATGACCAAATACAGACTTCAGTGTTCTTTAATTTATTTAGATTAGATGTTTATATCAATCACCTTATTGATACAATCATCTGCAGCCATTTTGATCGTATTTCCTTCTTCTTTGAGTACCATAAGTTGTTGATTGATAAATTTGACGAATCTCTGGTTTTGTTCTGTCTTGCTGCTCATCTTGAATAGTTTCATATGCAAATAACTGTTTTTTATGATACTTTATACTGTTTGGATTGGCTTGTTTTTAGGAATGACGCTCAAAATTATATAACTTCCCTTACCTTGTCCAATTCAAGGTGCTCAATACAGAAACTTCGATGAATTTTTCTTTTAAAAAATAATGAATGAATACATTTTTATATGACTTGGCTTGTTCTTACAAAAACCAAAATACGTGTGTTAATTCTTACAAACACAAATTAAACTGGAATAGGAAATTCCCAGTGTTTAAGAAACAGAATTCGCTCTTCCAAGAAAAGCATTGCTAGTTTCATTATCAACACTGGTGTCTCCAAAAGCTTTATATTTATATTTTGGTGATCTAATTACTCGTTTTTAAGGAGGAGGCCAGTCGGCAAGGAGTAAGTGTGTGTGTGTTTGTGAATGTGTTTGTGACAGTGTTTATGTGTGTGTCCATGTCGGGGCATACAATGAAAAACAACGCATAACGACTGCATTTTTCTGATCAGACTTGATTCAAACATCACAGTCGTTACACTGATATCGGTTGGGTCTAAAAAACAGACGCTCCTTGTTATGCCAATGTTAACTTTAATCTTATGTAATATAGACGAATAGCCGTTGGTTGGACATTTTGAGATTTAGTCAACTTTTTGACAATGGATTAAAGAGAAAAACAAGACAGCAACATCATTAGCAGCGACTTACATTCAGGTTCAAATACTTAAGGCTTAAATGCATTTAAACATAACAATATCTGCTACTGTACGAGACAGTGATTGTACCGACAGTTTAATAATCATACATATTTTATTTTTTAAATGATCACATGAGTTCACCAGTTTTAATTTGACAAGATTTTATTAACAACCCTCCGTTGAAAGGATTCTCTGCTTTGGCTAGCTAGTTATACCTGGAAAAATACTAGTGCTTTATTTAAGGATAATTGCCTCTAAAATATATGAAATGCCGTGATGACAAAAAATGTGTGCTTCAAAATGTCAAAATTTTCAGCACGTGCATTCATCGTAAACTAAGAATAACTAGGTGCATGTTTTTTTTTTTTTTGTTAATGTCTGAGAATGATGTATTCTCAATGCTCTTAAAAAATTCCCAACAAAAAAAAAAAACACATTTAAAAAAACAAATAAATAACACTTCATTCTTAATTAAAAACATAAAAAACAAAGCCTCATTAAAAAAAAAAAAAACATCGTAAACTAAGAATAACTAGGTGCATGTTTTTTTTTTTTTTGTTAATGTCTGAGAATGATGTATTCTCAATGCTCTTAAAAAATGCCCAACAAAAAACAAAAACACATTTAAAAAAACAAGTAGATCACACTTCATTCTTAATTAAAAACATAAAAATCAAGGCCTCATTAAAAAAAAAAAATATTGGTCCTGACATAATTCTAAATACGAACTTTCTAACAGTCAGTTCAAAAAAAGGCAAAGCCACCTAACTCTTAATTACAGGAAGTACACAACAAGGAAGATATGGAACACGGCTCTTTAGAGTTGAGCAACTTACCACGCTTCTGCTAGGGTTACGAGAAGGACAATAACTTTTTAAATTGGCCTCTAGTACTCTTGTGAAAAAAGCTTTATGATTTTTTTAATCCTTACAACTATACTGTTATTGTTATAGGGTTAGTGTTTTTTAAGAAAGAAAAAAAGCTAAAAACATTTATGGTAAATATAAATTTAATAAGAATTATACTAATTTTTTTATTCTGTTGTAGTGATGATTGCATTTTATATTTTTTGTAAATGAGTATTTTTTTGAAATTATTTAAGCTTACATGCAATAATTTATTTAAAAAAAAAAAAAAGAAATACTCAAGGCTTTATCGCAGTACAATCTCCTTATGATCAAATAGTTACCAACATTGTGACCTCTTCCAGATGGACTTAATAAGTGCCTTTTTTTTCATTTTCAAAGTTAGTTTGGAAAAAGTTTTTAAAATTTTAGTGATTATACTAATTATATCAATTTTCTTGGAAGAAATCTTAAAATTTAAACAAAAAGCTGAGTCCTTGATTAATTCGGATGGTAAATGAAATATATGGGTTTATTATTTTTTTAAATTTTCATATAAATAAAGTTAATAATTTTATTAAAACTTTTAATTTGCTAGTGGTCCAGATAAACCATAGAACCGGGCAGGTTCTGACCCACGGGCCGTAGATTGCTTACGCTCTTTCGGATCAAGCGCAGCACACAAATCCACCCTTATAATTTCAGACAACATGGTTATTAGCACACTTGCGATGCATTTCCGAGACAGTAACATTTTGTTACGTAAGTTTAGAGAATTTAACATCTTCTTTAACTATATGGCTCGTTGAAAAACGGTACACAACAGAAGACGAAACCGTACATAACATAGAGTAGAACAGAAACGATATCAAAACTAGAGCTAGTTTAAAATAAGATTAAGAATTAAAAACTAAAACTATTAACTTACAGTACAGTAATGGCTAGTACCAGTACAATGTTGAAAAAAGCTACAATGTTGAACAAAGGTAATATGTTGAACAAAGGTACAATGTTGAACAAAGGTACAATGTTGAGCAAAGGTACAATGTTGAACAAAGTTACAATGTTAAACAAAGGTACAGTGTTGAACAAAGGTACACTGTTGAAGAAAGATGACCATACACACACGGAAAAATACTAGTAAACAAATCTCAGTCTTGTATCGTAAATCTCTCCAAGCTCAGTCTCTTCAATGAGTATTTACAGTCTATTTTACTGACTTTTCGACCGATCTTAACTATCCTAAAGGATTTAAATAATACAGGCTGTAGAGTCTATCTATTTGTAAACAAAGTCAAGACAGACAATTTTTTGTTAGTCACACCCGAAAACGTGGAACCAAACTTGGGGTCAGCTGAAGTTCATTTCCGAGAAAAGATAATTGAAAGTAAACAGGACGCCTATAAATAAATAAATAAATATATATATATATAGAGAGAGAGAGAGAGTGAGAGCGAGAGAGTGAGACAGAAAGAGAGAGCACGAGAGGGTGAAGAGAGACAGAAAGGAAAGGGAAGAGAGAGAACCAGAGCGAGAAGAGACAGAGAGAGAAATTGAAAGTGAGAGACAAAAGAGAGAGAGAGAGAGAGAGAGAGAGAGTGAAAGATATATATAATATATGTTTTTATTCGTAGAGTAAATATTCAAAATAAACAAAATTGTAAGGTTTGTGGTATACAGAAACAAAAATTATACGCTTTTAAATCATATGTAGTTGAATAACTCATAAAACATTAGAGTGCTATTGTAATTCAATCAGAAAACAAGAAAAGTACTTCAATGATAAGACCCATATGATTTTGAACACTTATGGTCACACACGTTTGAACACAAATAGCAAAACATAGATAGGCTACACATTTCATTAAATAACCTGGTTGAATTTTTTTTTTGTAATAATGACACTTATCATAATGTGTGTCAACTCCGTGGTTCTGCTAGATTGGTTAATTCGTTAAGTTCTTTCACACGTTGTAATACGTCGTACTATATTGCATAAATTCAAGTACTGTATCACAATAAATAATTAACTTTAATACCAATTATATGCACATGCCTTAATTTCCATAAACACGTGCATATACCGCAGCTCACAATCAGACAGAAATAAAACACATGCTACAACAACAAAGTTCAATTCATGACTCCCAGAAGAATAAAAAGTACGTCCCAGTACAGACTAGACACTATAAATATATACATATATATATATATATATATATATATATATATATATGAATGAGCTATGCTGACATAACACTAAAAAACCGATAATATTTAGATACTTGGAAAACCCAAACATTATTTGTTTTTATTGCGTTGTTAGAGCAATTTTATTTTTTTTTACCGCGCGTAAAAAAAATGATAATTTATTCCCCCCCCCCCCTCTTAAATAAAATAAATAAATTTAATTGATTGCTCTTTAAATTGTTAATAAAACACATACACACATTTTTTTTTGTTTGTTGAAACATTTGATAAGTTTTTTTTTTAAATTATGAAAAATATACTTTTATTAAATTTATAATGTATTAAAAATGTAACCTTTGCATATACTTTTAATAAGAAAATGCCGTTTAAGTCAATAAGTGCAGCGCAAGTTCATAGCCAAATAGCATTAACTAATCCATGTATAGCTCGCACAAATAAAAACGAATCATATGAAGTGAAAATATGTTAGTTTGGGTCTGGAAGGGACTACAATCCGGTGGCAGATTTTCTAAATTTTTTTTTAAAATCCGTGTGAGGGGAGAGGTTGGTCACTTTGCCCCAAGCAGCACAAGATACGTCTTAAAATAAATAAGTAATTCGATAAATAATTAACTTGCTTTGGTACATTCATTTCGGAGGTAGGAAATAGGATGTGTAAATTTTTACGTTGATGACAAAATATTTAAATCCTATTGTATTACATTTGTGAAAAAGATATGTTACATTCTCTTTTTACAAATATGGAAATGTTCATTTTGTACAAGGCAGCACAAGAAACGTCTCAAAATAAATAAATGAATTTGATAAATAATTAACTTTCTTGGGAACATACATATATCGGAAGTAGGAAATAGAATATGTACAATTTCACGGGGATGACAATATATTTTAAAAACCTCTGGTATTACATTTGTAAAAAAAAAAAAAATGTTATATTCTCTTTTACAATTAAAAATATTATGCGTACCAATTAATAGAATCAATGGCTTGAAAGAATCGTGATTACAATCATATAAGTACACCAATGAATATTAAAACCCGACCACTTTACATATTTGAAAAATTGTTTTTTAAAAAACACAGATGAGCTAATATTTAATTTCAAAAAATGAAAATGTATTTTTGTTTTTACTTTGCAAAAAGTAAAAGTGTGTATTTTTATGAGATAAACAATTTTTAATATTTTTTTTAAAAAGGACACTGACATCGGTTGTAGGCGCAAAAAAAGGTTGCGAGAATCTTCTTTAGGTAAAAGAATTCTTTGTTTTACGATTTTCTGCTAATGTATAATTTAAAAGACCAGGCCAAAGTGCGCTTACATTTGTGATAAAGATAACACTAAATCAAATTCCTTTAATATTAAGAATATTTATATCATATTATTATGTTGTTTTTTTCAGATTTTTTTAGAGAAAAGTGTGTAAATCAAGGTCACGAAAAGGGGTAAATCTAAATTAATTCTCTAACATAGAAAGCGTCCCTAATTTAACTTCTTTAGTGACAAAAGTTATATAATTCTTGATAATTTAGACTGGGTAATTTAAGGTTATGTTTAGATTGAAAAAAATTATTTAGGAGCGTGAAAGGGGGTAGGGTAAATATTACTCAAAATTAAATCATTTTTGAAACATAAATATAAATACAGAGATACTTCTTTTTAAAGTTAGGAATTGTGATGAATTTTTGCAATAGCAGGTAGAAATGATCGCAATAGACCTACCGTTGTTATGCCGATAACATCGGGTCATTTAAACTATTTCGTCATAAGGAACATAAAAATATGTCACCAAGTCAGGTGCGACACGAGCGTTCACTACTAAAAATATTAAGCACACACCAAGCTCAATGAACCTAATATCCAGTCGCAACAATTATTAATACACTCCCATACTTGACAATACGTTGTATTGAGTTACATTGGGTTAAAACCAGAACATTTCCTTAATATGTATTGTATTTTATTAAAACGTTAAGAAACGATTATTAACTAAATAGCTATAAACTGATTTTTCGTTCAGATAATGAATGCTATTAGTCTGTTCACTTTTGGCTACTGAGATACTTATCACAAAGTCAAATACTTTTCACAAAATCAGTCGCATAGTCAGGTTTTGTTGTGTAGTGAGAAATACAATAAGATCCACTAAATAGTTCCAACAAATTAATTATTTTTTTTAAATGACTTATAATTTTTAACAATTTTATATAGAACATTCCATCAGTAGAGAAACAAAATTAAATTATTTTAAAGTAATAAAGTATGTTGTCTATCTTTAGTCTTGTAATTTGATTCCACTTGTGCTTCTTTGGTTTGGGCTTTATCATTTACAATTATAATTGTTTAGCTATTATCCATTAAACTTTCAACCTTTTTTTGAAAACTTTAGACCAAAAAGCCGTGCACCATAATGACTTTCTCCTAATATTACTACACTTTTTGAAGGATTGTGACACGCATCATATACATTAAGACCAAAATATGTGTTCCTATTTACTTCTATTTTTTTATAAAAATATACGTAAAAATATTTGTTTCCCGCCATTCAAAGATCATGGCTTCAATCCGACTGGAAATGACATTTTATGTTCATACATTTAGGGAAAATAAAATTAAAGAAACACTGTTGAATTTCAAAAATAAACATTTTAAATGATTCATTTTTGCGATGTCACACTATAAATGTTTTGTATCCTACTTATATAGAGGGTATACTATTTCCATGTGCGAATTTCTCACAATAAAACATTTTCAGCACTACACGGAACGGATATTTACTTTCCCTTCAGGTCATAAACATCTGTGAAAAGTTTCCAACTATTTGGAGTTGTCAAAAACTGTATGCCAAAGAGACAAAAATATAAAGACAAGTATACATTTTCTTTTAACCATTTATCAAACAGCAAGAAAAATCAACACACTTTCCCTTATCGTATTCCTCTATGTCCACTTTTATGAAAACCTGTTCCCCTGCTGTCATCTCAGCACAAAATGTAATTGTCTGGTTCCCAAAGAATTGACACAATTCTTCACTTTCATCTTCATCAGGTTTACATCTTTCAAGTTGGGTCTTGTTATCGTCATGAAGTTTCGCACTAATGCTCATCAAATACAGGCCATCCAATGGGGCAGTGAACTTCCCAGATGTTGAACCAAAGTGATCTCCATAGTTACCCCAAACATTGGAAAAGTTCTCTAAATAATGTGGGCCTAAATCGAGATCAAAGGTACTCCAGGCATAGAATCCGACATTTGGAAGACGACATTTTGATTCTGTGAACAAGTAAAATCCAAATATTACAAACGTAAATTATATTTTATTAAGAGATATTCCAAATACAAATATCTTAAATTAAATATAAATTCAGTGTCCTCTTGATAATATTTGTAAGATCATGGTAAATTTAGATGTATATTTTACTGGGGACATTAGATATAACACATAGATAATTCTAATACACATATTTTCAATAAAATCTAGATGCATTTATCTCTTGCATAATGTTTATGAAAGGTTCTACATTGAAACATGACTGGGGTGGACATGAAGTTGGCACATCTCTTGGAGGAAAAATAAAGATGAATATTTGAAGTGGATGAAATACTGGTGCTTGCCAATGACGGTGTGATCATTCCCTTCAAGATATAATTAACGAAAGACCTCTAATTTTTCTAAACAATTTGTTTTTGTTTTTAGATGGTTGAGTTTTTTTATTTGGAGACATTGCTAATAAATTCCGCAGTTTCCTAGTTGGTTAATTAAATCACCATATGAAACATGTGATGAATAGAAAATAGTATTTGAGTTCCAATCTTTTTCCTACATTTTTTAAAGATAATATATAAATACTAAATATTATAACTTTGAACAGGACAATTTCGGTAGTGAGTAAAGAGCAAAATTATCAACTTTCGCGACTTCAAATACATAACATTTATTTGTTGGGATAGATTTCCGTATCCATTTCCCATGGATTTTTTTTAGCAGGATGGCGGCATACTTTTGTCTTTGGAGTTATTTTTTATTACTTATTTGAGAAATCTTTCAGGGTTGTCTATGGCCATCTAGCAGTAATTTTTAAATTTGCTTTTTAAAAAAATTGAATAATTATAATATACATCTATATTTAATTTAAAATTGTTTGGGTTTAAGTTCAAAGCCACGAATATGTCATCAAAATGTTCGTGTTAAAGTATATAAGCATTCAGCAATCCAGGTACTCAGCAGAGTTTAATTAAAATAATCTATACAATTGATTTTTCAAATAATTTGTCGGTCATTTACTTAAAATTATAATATATTTCTCTGATACACATATACTATGACGATTTCTCAACATATATGAATAGGAAGTCTCTTGATTCATCTTGTCTTGTATGAATTGTATCTCATTGAATTCGATGATTATTTATTTTTTAAGATAAGCAACTTAATTTTAATTTGTTCAATATTTTTTTGCGCAAGTATATTTTTAAAAATAATAAATTTATTCCAGTCTAATTTCAGTAAATCAAGATTTAGCTCTAACGCACTCAATATTTGAAATAATTAGCAATGAAACAACACCCTTAAACTCAACGATTTAAAATTGATTGCTGGGATAATTCTACTCTTCTTTGTTTTAATAATAATTTTTTAATATTAACTTACCAATTTCAACTATTTTGTTTGATAAATCCACAAACTGACTTTCAATGCCATCCATCTATAAATGATGCATTTTAGATATAAAGATGTGTTAATAAATAATAATTTTAATATAAAAAGATAAGGAACAAATTATAATTTGTGAAGGAAAAACTTTAAACAAAACCTACTGTGTTCATCAGCTTTACTTTGACCCTGTCAACTGACGATGTTAATGATTTGTTTATGTGAGTGTATTTTTGGTTTATGTTTAAAATCTTTGGTTTGTTTAAATAGCTCTTTTTGGGTCAGAGATTTATTGAAAAGCTGTTGATTTTTTTTTTTTAATTATTAAATTTCGTGCATGAGATGTAACTTTTTTGATTGTTATGAAAAGGAAGCAGCATTTATAGGCGGTCGTCTTTATGACTCTGAGTTAGTTTTTAGTGAGAAATAATATTTTTTTTTAGTTAAAAATGCACCATACCGAGCAGACAACGTTGACGTGTAAAGAAGGAATTATAAATAGATGCACGAGATTTTCTTACAAGGAAATTATTAACAAAACAATATTGTAAAATCCAGAATTTAAAGAGAATTAAATATTTGTTAAATAAAAATTAAGCGCTTCTTTTAGACCATCAAGATTATGTATCAGTTTGTTCGGGAACCAAATTTTTTTTTTTTTTAAATTTAGTAAAAAAATATATAAGGTGTTGAGTAACAAAACAGTTAAATTTGAAGAGGATTTAACTAACAACTAAGCATTTACAACGAACGGTCTGTAGTGTAAGGTAGTTTACTTTCTATCAAATTTAAAAATATTTTTAAATACCTTTAAGGATATCGGAGATTTTGTGATGGGAATCTTGTTGAGAGCCTCTCTAAAGGTTTCAATTGGATTTAATCTTTTAGCGACCAGATGACAAACCAGGCCAATCTGAACAATATGTAAATTGGGTAATAATGTAAATCAAAAGTAGTGAAGTTTACATTGACGAAATTAATTCGTATGTAGGGTAAGTGCGTTTATAATAGTAATTAGTTTTTACATCAAAGTCGATCAATGTAATTTTGATCATCGGGTTCCTTCTAGGTCTGATTGTGTCAGTGGGTGCGCAGGTGGCTCAAAGACTGATCCTGCCTGTTGTAGTGCATATGGCTCATAAGACCAATGGGTGCGCAGATTGCTCATATGACTGAATCTTTCTGTGGATGTGCAAATGACTCATGAGACCGATTATGTATAATGGTGCGCAGATGTCTCATAATACCGATTCCGTCTGAGGGTGCGCAGATGGCTGATAAGATCGATTCTTACAATATTTTTTTTGCTCACCGAGGTGCAATGGGAAGATGAGTCATCTCCATATGGAGAGGTGACATTAAGCTCTTCCAGCGTGTCTTGTTATCTCTGCAACTGCCTTTCCTTTTCATAAAAAAAACGTCAGAGACTTTTTACCCGGGGGGACGCCACGATGCTCAAATTTTTTGGAGTCTTCCCATGTCACATGTATCAGTATTTAAATAAAAAACTTTCAGTGAGACTGTTAGTTTGTCTTTAAAACTTTTTTTTTCCGCCAAACCGCAAATTGTTTCTCAAAGAGTATTGTCCCGCTTACTTTGCAGTTAGAAATGTATATTTTTATTAACAAATCGTCTATGTCATCATCAAGTGGAAGGACAGTCAATACTTACGAGTAACCAAATCCATGTGTGGTGCAGAATTCTGCACTGATCATCGTCTTATCATCATTAAGCTCAACTTACACCTACAACCAAAAGACACCCACGGGGGAAGAAGCCTCCTAAACGTCTAAATACCAAAAAGTTGAAAAGCCCCACATTACGAAATTCTTTGTGGACGCTCTGGAAGAACGTATGGAGTCCACACTATTGGAAGATGACAACGTCGAAGCAAACTTGGCTTCACTTAGATCTATTTTGTACAACACCGCGATGGAGTTTCTGAGGACGAGCTCGAAAAAAACATCAGGATTGGTTTGATGATAACTGTGACGTCATCAAGCAACTGCTCGAGGAAAAGCATAGTCTCCACCACGCTTCCCTGAACAACCCGTGGTCAATCCCCAGAATATGGATGCCCCAGAAAGAACGTTTTAATGGTACAACTATTCCATGAAGGTATGTAGAATAGAGATCGGGATAATGGAGAGACGTCAAATTTATTCCCTGTAACAAACGGGTTGAAACGAGGATGTATACTTGCCCCAACACTTTTCAGCCTCGTGTTTTCTGCAATGCTAACCGATGTATTCAGAGAGGTAGACGCTGGAATTGGCCTCAGATACCAAACTGACGGTAATGTATGCTCCTCGAAACTCTTATGTTGAGCCCAACATCCAAGTATATGGCGAAAGACTTAAGGTGGTTAAGGGCGTTTCCTATCTCGGTAGCACACTGTACCAAAGCACAACCATCGACGACGAGGTTAACCTCCGTATTGTGAGAGCCAATGCCACCTCTGGAAGATTGACTTAGAACGTATGGACCAGGAGAGATATCAGCACTCAAACTAAACTGAAGGTATATCAGGCGGCTGTTCTCCCTGCGCTTCACTATGCAAGTGAAACGTGGACGGTCTACCAACGCCATGCAAGAATGCTGAACAACTTTCATACAAGACTCAGAAAAATCATCAACATTAAATGGCAGGACAGGGTAACAGACACTGAGGTGCTCACACAGGCAGGTATCCCCAGCATCTTCACAATCTTGATGAAATCCCAGCTTCGCTGGGCCGGACATGTTGTGAGAATGTCAGATGACCCTCTTCCAAAAATAATTTTCTATGGTGACCTTGAACAAGAAAAGCAGTCTGCAGGTGGACAGAAAAAAACGCTTGAAAGACAATATAAAATCCTCACTAAAAGCGTTCAACATTAACCCAGACAAGTGGGAGGAACAAGCAAAGGATTGAACTTCATGGCGTTCCACTTTGCACAGGCGCTCGATGCAACATGAAGTTGGCAGAACAGAAGCTGCAGAGTGCAAGAGACATGCCAGGAAGGCCATGACTCTGCTCCCGGAGATGCGCTATCACTCCTCTGCACCTACTGCACAAGAGAATTTCTTGACAGAATCGGCCTCATTAGCCATCTGCGCACCCAGAGACAGAACCTGCATAAACTCGGATGATTAAAGTGGTCATGGTCGACTCCCGACTGACGTACAATAACAACATATTAATAAGAAAACATTCTAAATTTTAAAAGATGTATTATATTATTTTATAAAGTTATTAATCAATACGTTTCCAAAAAATAACCATTGGTTAATTTATTTAAAAAAAAAAAGATTATAAATAAAAGATAAAAATGACATCCCAATACTTACCAAATCGTCAATTTTATCCTTATTGAGACTGCTCATATTTTCAAACTGCTCTGTGTACTGAGATTTCATGTGATTAATGGACAATTCAAGTTGATTCATTTTATTAGACATCTCATTATAATGTTGACTTGTACTCTCGACGCTCTTTGACAAATCCTGTACAGACATAAGTGCGTCATTGCTACAAGTTCTAAAAGAGCTAATCTGTTGGTTTAGTTCATTCATTGAGACGTTCAGAGCCTCATTTTTCTCTTCTAATTTTTTAAACCTAGAATCAACGATTGTTAAAGTTTCAAGGGAATAATCAACATTTGTAGAAATGTCTGCGTTTTTTTCCTTAATTTCGTTTACTCTTTCTTGAATTTTTTTCTTAAACTTCAAATGCGTGTCATGTAGAGTATCAAAATTTTTGTCCACGTTGTCTTGCAGAGCTGAAATCTCTTTTTGAACCCTATCAACTTTTTTTTTCAGGATGTTGACATCATTTAATACTTTATCGAAATTTTCTTTTGGAACTGAAATCTCATTTAATTTCTCAACAGAAATCTCTTGTTTTTCTTGAATTTCTTTTGTTGTACATTTCATCGAGAAAACATCTTCTTCCAATGTAGCCAGTCTTCTTGTCATACTTTCAAAGTCGACAATTGTACCTGTTGGTCAAGATAAAATTTTACATTTCAGTTTTATCTTGAAGATTTCAGATAAAATATTAACTCCTGCATGTCTTAGAATTTAAAATTAAAATTGTATTTCTTATTCCGTATTGAACATTGTTAAATAAAGCATGCGTCAAAAATATCAGTGATGAAATGTCGCATCACAAACGGGTAATTGGTTTGGTTTATGTTTGCCCAGCCGACACATGGTCACAATAGCAAAATAAATCATATTTTGTGCAGTTGTAGCTAAAAATGGGTCCCTTAAAGGAGGAGCAAATATTTTTATTCGATTTTTGGTTTTCACCCTTACGTAAGAAGTCGGTAATGGGAAACGAATTCAAATTCCGGGAGTTTCAGCACGGTTAATTTTACGCCATTACTGCGTTAGTATACATTTTGGTGGGATATTTATGAATGTATCACAACATCTCCCTATGAGAATATATTATCAGGGATACAGTAAGCTCGATGTGGGTTTGATTAGAAGAAACGCTTAAAAATCACGCAGTGAAAGTGTCACTGAAAACTTCTGGGATAAAGCCAGAAAATTGCCAATGTATCGAGCCTCCATGCAAAACGATGCCGATGGAAGTGCTGCTTCAAAAAAACAAAAACAAATGGTACTTCACCAACGACCTGTGGCCCAACTGCACCTGAACATATCCTGTCTATACATTGCAGCGTCGACGAAAGAAACTTCCATACCCAATCTTAACATACAATGTTTGTATTCTATCAGGGATGAAATGTACCATTTGAATACCTATTACTTTTTTTAATGTGATTCATTTTATATCCCAAATAACTTATTATTTTAATCTTCTCTATGTAATTATTTTCCTCTTGGACATCACATAAAGATTTCACGTAGTATTGTACATAGTATTTGCGATTTCAAAATTTTAGAAAAGCTATTTCAGGCTACCTTTGTAAAATGAATATTTGATCAAGTTAAAGTTAAGATGGACAAATTTTTAAATTGATTAAAGATGGTTTGAAGGAAAAAAACACACCATTTTTAGGTTTATTTTGTGATTTATTAAATATTTCATAAGTATGTGTATTAATTTTACCTGGGGCTGTATCAGTTGCTTTAGCTGCTGGTGGCGTGAGTGAAACAGCAGTCTGTGATACTTCATGCTCAAATTCATCATTATTCAAACCTTCAGTTATAAAAAAAAAAAAAAAATTTTGTAAACAACATTTAAAATACAAAAATCAAAACAAACGAAAATTAAGAGTAGAATGTGTTTCGCCTGGGTCCTGGGTTCGTACTATCCTTTTTCATCGCTCAATAAAAGAAAAACAGCAAATCAGACATAAGCCATTTTATTTATAATTGATGAGACATAAGTTCATTTTATAGTAAGTCAGGAGAAAGCCATTTTTAATAGGTCAGATATAAGCCATTTTTATAATAGGTCAGAAAAAAGCAATTTTTATAATAGGTCAGAAATAAGCCATTTTTTATAACAGGTAAGATTAAGCCACTTTTATAATAGGTATGAAATAAGCCATTTTTATAATAGTTCAGAAGTGTGCCATTTTTAGAATAGGTAAAAAACTAGCAATTTTTCTAATAGATCAGACATACGCCATTTTTATAATGGTAGTTGGTCTAAAATGCCACCGAAAATAGAATACCTGTCCGTATTTGTCTTCTACACCTGTACATACTGCATCCATTGCACAGTTTTAAATTAAAAAGAAAAAATGTGTTACGCCTATAACAATGTTTCAGCATTAACAAAAAGAGACATTTGATAAATAAATGTATTCTTTTAATAAAGAATTACCAGAAATTTCAATAGTCTTCATAATAACAAAGGTTATTGCTTGTTGGATGTTTTTGGCAATCTCCTGGAAACGTAACTGATTCACATGTCCTGAGCAAGTCCATTGGTCCATCTCCTGGGCTACACTTAAATGCATCTAGGAAAAAAAAAGACAATAACTTTAACTAAACAAAGTCATCAAAGTTCTAACCTACAACAATTTAAATGAACTTAAGGATATTCTATCAATGTGTAAATTTCTCTCTCCATCTCAGAATTTCTTTGTCCGTAGGCTCTGCAAAAGCCATTGGTCTTCTTTGTCGTTTATAAAATATGTTTTAGATTGTTCTTCTTTTTACATCCTTTATTTTGACATTGCTTTCGATCGCATGTTTCTCTATTTTCTGTGTGGCATAATCTTTAGAATGCTAATTGACCCACTTCCCATCAATCCTATTACGCTGAAACTTTTAATAGATTAAAAATTTTATGCCAAATTTTCCTCACTATCCCGAGACAATTAGTTTTTTCCTGTTTTTAAAGTAGGGAGAAATGTTAATTATTTATTCAATGGGTGCATGTTTTAGTGTGGAGATTAACCGTGTAGCTCTTGCTATGAGCCTTGCATTTATGACGTATATGAGTATGTAGTTACAATAAAATATATTTTTGAAGGGTAAATTAAGAAAATATGAAACGTGTTTTCGCCAGTCTAAACACTTCCATAACCACTTCTTGATAAATGATAAATCTCTTACATCTGCATAAATGCAAAGAAAAATGCATGTAAAAGATTATACGAAATTATTTGGGGTTTTGTGGATTGTTTAATTAAGACTAAAAGTAACACAAAAAAAAAAAAAGTTCAGACACAGTCGTGTGCTTCAAAACCTACCAAATAAAAACGTACGCTTCTCTTTGCTCAGCCATGAGGGTTGGCTTAACATCACTTAATCATGTCCAATATATCTGCACCCCTCTTCCATAATACAAGATAAAAAAGGTGGGTGGGTGGGTGGGTGGATTGGTGGGTCGATGGATGGATGGATGGACTTATAGATAGATATATAATAGCTAGATAGATAGATAGATAGATAGATAGCTAGATAGCTAGATAGATAGATAGATAGATAGATAGATAGATAGATAGATAGATAGATAGATAGATAGATAGATAGATAGATAGATAGATAGATAGATAAATAGATAGATAGATAGATAGATAGATAGATAGATAGATAGATAGATAGATAGATAGATAGATAGATAGATAGATAGATAGATAGATAGATAGATAGATAGATAGATAGATAGATAGATAGATAGATAGATAGATAGAGTGTTGAGCAAAAAGTGAGTTTCTCTTGTAAATTTTGAATAAAATTGTGTTTTTCTTCTTAATTCTTAACTTATAAACAATCAAGCTACATGTGTTTAAAATTTTATCTTATAATAATCAAAAATGAAATTCAACCTGTCCTCCATGTTCAAGATTTTATTATCTAAACAATTTCACCCACTTGTCTAATCTCGTTTTCATAAACCACTGTGAACATGCTTGCCAAGCTCTAAAACTACCAAAGTTCAGTTTATGTATTGATTTAAGCTTTAGGATGAAAGTTATAATTTTGTTGTAGGGCACCCCAAAGTGTACAACGTACTGGATTTGGTCCGTGCTATTAGGGTGGGGGGACACCTGCCTCTATACATCTTGATAAAGAAAGCGTATCGGAGTGACTGGCCTTGCGTGAAGGATGATCTCAACCCTTGTTTCAGTGTCAGGTTATGATGATATCAATTTGCTCAAATATCCGGTAGCACACCGTATCCTATGATGTGTTCGCAATCATGCGTACTGTCCACTTTGGCTCCTTGTTCCGCAAACACTGCACTGGTTTTAATACGTCCAAGAATACAGACCTAAACCGTGCTGCAATGTCTGAATTGTTTACGTTAGTGAATGTATCTTGACGATAAAAATTTTATTTTTCTCTCTATCTTCAAAAAAAAAAAAAAAAAAAAAAAAAAAACCTGATAATTTTTAGAATTTACATTTTTGTAGAGAGTAAACATCCTATTTTCCAATATGAGCTCATCTTCCTTTTAGAAACAATCAAGTAACTGTTGATTTCTTTGTTTGGTTGTTAAATTGCCGTTTTTTTTTGATGTTGTTATCTTTTTGGATAAACTTTCCTAAACAATCATTTGTACGTTTGAAGTTACGGATAGTGCTTTCCTATTCGCTACCCCGTGACTCGAGATATGAACGTTTCTCTTTTCTTGCGTCGTTGAGGATCAATATCATGGATATAAATCACCTGAGTCTCAAGCTGAACGTTTTTCCCTGTTCCATATCTGTCTTCTTGGGGCTGCTTCCAACACTTATTGTTATGGTACCATAAAATCAGTGTTGTTACATGGTCAGTTAAGATTTTTTTTTTTTACTCCATGCTTTATTTTAAAAATTAACGATCAATTGGCTTAGCTCCCTATTGTTTTCTTTTTGCAAATTTAAAATACGAGACAATCTAACAATTAGAAACACATGATCAAACCGTCTGAGACGCCGTGGTCAACCTCGTTAACGCAAAATAATATCGGTAAGACGGGAAAGTTTACTGAGACCATATGTATTTGTCTTATTAATGCCAGGAAATAACAGTTTCAAAGCTTGTACTCATTTTATTATATTCAACCCGAAAAAAAACCTGAAGAATTTTTAAAAACAAACAGATAATAGCACAGTATCCATTTCGTTATCCCCAGTGTAACATCGGGTAATGTTAATAAACTATATGAGGTGATAATATTTTTTACTAATTAACTATTAAGTTTAAAGAAGTAAAAAAAAGACTTTATTTAAATTTTGATATTGTTCAAACATGAGATTGATTAAGTTTTATGCCATCGAAATTAATGATTTTAGGCTACATTGTCAATATTTCTGGTGATAACTGATCAATGGAACAAGTTATATAAATTACCTTATTGACAACATCATCCATGGCATCTTTCATAGTTCTACTCTCCACTTCTAACATCTCGAGTTGATGTTTAAGAAAAGTATCCAATCTCTGAGCTAATTGCGTCTTGCTGGCCATGCTTTTTTCAATGTCAACTGCGGTTCTTATATCTGTGGTAGGCCTATGAAAGTTATAACGGATTTCGTTTTGAAATTTCGGCTTAAGACAGTAAAATTTCACGAAATTAAGTAGTTATTGTAATTCTAAAAGAATGTGCATTAAAATGCTTTGTAAAACAATGTACAACTTTTTCATATCATATCTTCATTCCTAACATATTTTAATGTTTATTGTGGGTTATTTACAACAACAAAATATCAAAAGAAAAAAAACAACAACATTACATAAACTTTAAGGTTGCTGTGATAAACATTTCCTTTCCAAGGACCCGGGATCCAGCATGAATTATTGGAAACAAAGGACTGTGAGGAAAATTTCTCCATAGTCGGGAAAACCCGGTTTCATAGTTTTAGAATACAATTTTCTTTTTACTTTTATTTTAAATTCCCGCAAGTGACATATTGTCACAAATTGTGGCTTAAGGCATCCTAAACACTTTAGTGATGTGCTAATTCACGAATTCCTGATCACTAGTTTGTAAAGAATAAAAGCTTAAACTATGACATTTAACATAAACAAAGCAGAAAGGAACACAATTTCTAAGAAGACCATTTATTTAGTTGATTTAGTAAACCACATAATATTTATATTATTTCTTATCCAAATCATGACTACAAATTAATTTTAAAGCACAAGCAATATAACTCTACCTCTGAATTTGAAACAAATGTGGCAACCTGGCCTAACACTCAGCTATGGTTTGTTTGCTACAACTTTAAAATCATCAATAACACATTTTTTTTTTTAAATTAAAAAAATTAAATAGATCAGCAGGCTGTCAAAATCAACCAGCGTCTCCAAATACAAGTGACATGTGGAAATGGGAATTTCCCAAATTATTTGTCATATTTTGTCAACCGTTGCGTCATTAAGTCTGATAAGGTGATTCAGCGATGATAGTTGTGTTTGCAGTGGCTGCAGCGATTATGGATACCATTGAAACACTTCGGACACGAGTACTCGCTCTAAACCAACAATTGTTTTAAATTGTATCCAATAACTCAGTTAAAACCGAGGTAGGTCAATGGGAATGTTGAACGTTTACACCTACATCAACTTCTTCAGCAGCGCGATGCGCTCCGTGTTGCCTTCATCTTTCTTTCCTTACCTACTTGAAATAGTGAAGCTTGCGCGTCTCGTTACTCTTCCCCCCCCCCTTTTTCTGTAACAGAATTTAAAAAAAATATATATATATAAATAAATAGAGCAGTGGTTTCAAAAACTTAAAGAGCAGCTTAAATTCTAAATTCTGTTGGTAGGGATTTAATGACTCCAGTGATCCGATCCAGGATGACGACCAGAATCCTGGCATCGGGGTGTTCAATTTTATGTAGACAAATGCGGTACAAATTTGGCGTCAAAAATAAGTTATACTTTCTGTTGTTCAATTATTTAATTTTTTTAAAAATCGGCACCAAATGCAATCCTGGCCTTTTAAAAGCTGATGCATTCATAACATAATACATTAGTCGTCGCATCCAGGACAGGGTGCAGGCCGTAACTTAACTTTTTGTTTTCTAAAAGGAAATTCTCATGGAGTGATGGGGGTGAATGGGAAGATGACCAGCCCGTAGCAAAAGTTTTTGATACAACTATCAATTCCCTAATTGTTATCTGTTTTAGAGTTGAATGTGCCTGGAAGATGACAAAAATGGAGGACAAGAAGGGGAGACTTTGCTCAATTTAAGTAATATGTATATGAACTAGTTTTAACCCTTTCTTAGACATTTCCATGGAAAATAGCATTAAATTGCTTACAAATTCATATTTAATGTTTATTATATAGATATATAGTATATGAGGAATACATATTGATCACAATATAAAAGTTATTAAAAAACAAGGCACAAAATGGTTTACATACAGACTTTATGAGATGATTTAACATTTCTGAAAATGCATACGCAAAGAAAGCTTGTGAAGATGTGTAAGATTTTAAAGAAATGTTTAATTTGTTTACACTTTTTTCGTGCATTGAACTCGTTATTGATATATAATGTTTTATTTTATTTTTTTTTAATTTTAAGATTATATTTGTTGATATCAATGTATCATACATGTTCCCATATTCTCATTCCTTATTTTCACATCTATGGAAACTTTTCCCCTGCTTTCAGCTCAGCAAAAAATTTAAGTGTTTGGCTTCCACTAAAATAACAAAAACTTTTTCTTGGACGTCCATCAGATTGGCAACTGCTTATGTCGTCACTTGTAATTTCCTTCCTGTTGTCCTCATCAAGTTTCGAACTAACACTAATCAAATAACAAGGCATTAAATGGGGTATTGAACTTCCCAGATTTTGAATCAAAATGATCACAGAGGTTATCCTTAATATGGGAATATATTCTGAATTATATTCCCCAACGTCGGGATTAAAAACACACGCCGGGCATAGGATCCGACATTTGGAAGGAAACATTTTGATTCTGTGAAAGCATTTGACCGGGTGAATCATAGTTTGCTTCTACACAAACTACAGATATATGGGATTCAAGGCACCACTAAAACATGGATCTCTAGCTTCCTCAGCCACCGACGCCAAGCAGTAGTGGTGGGCGGTACAAGCTCCTCCTTTGTCAATGTGAAGTCAGGGGTCCCCCAGGGATCAGTCCTGGGCCCCTGTTTGTTCCTAGCATACATTAATGACCTACCGGAGAAACTGACATCACAGGCAAGACTGTTTGCAGATGACACAGCAGTGTATAGGACGATCGCCAACAGATCTGACCAGGACCAGCTACAACAGGATCTCAATCTGTTAGCTGAGTGGGAGATGAGCTGGGACATGGAATTTCACCCTGCCAAGTGCCAGACACTATCAATCTCTAGAAGTTGTACTCCTCTACACTACCAATACAAACTGCACGGCCATATTCTTGAGCAAGTTTCCTCCGTAAAGTACCTGGGTGTTACCATTCAAAGAGAGGTCCGCTGGGACGAGCATATTAACAATGTATGTAACCAAGCAAACCAAGCCTTGGGGTTCTTAAGGCGAAATCTAAAGATTGGCAACTCCTGTGTGAAAGAAAGAGCATATAAAGCCTTTATCCGTCCGATTTTAGATTATGCATCTTCAGTCTGGGACCCATTTACCCAGAAGAGCATTGACAGGTTGGAGGCGGTCCAGCGACGAGCAGCACGCTTTGTCCTAAACCGCTACAGGAATACCTCTAGTGTTGGCAGCATGCTAGAAACACTAGGCTGGTCACCATTGGAGAAACGACGACGACAATCCAGGCTCTCCATGATGTACAAGATAAATAATGGGCTGGTCCACTGTTCCAGTATTAAACAGAAACTCGTCCCTCTCCCCCATAGACAGCGACGAGGCCATGACAGGCAATTCAGGCTCATACCAGCAAGAAGCCAGTATAGGAGCTGCTCATTCCTGCCCAAGACAATCAGGGACTGGAACCATCTTTCAAAAGGAACAGTTGAGGCGACAACACTAGACACATTTGTGTCTATTGCCTCAAGCCTTCAAACCCCTAGTGCATAATTTCCTCATCACCACCAGTAACAGAAACATTGCAAATCCCATCTACATGCATAGGAGCCAAAATGATCAATAAATTGATCGTGGGCCCTTAAGATATAGAAGAAGAAGAAGAAGAAGAAGAAGATCAAATACAAATATTACATAAATAAATTAGATATAATTCAAACATAATTTGAATACAAATATTTAACTTTAAAAAAAAAAATATTTGTAAGATGAGGTCATTCTGAATTTAGATTTAGACACGACTGGGGACGGTGATTATGTTTTCAGACCACTTTGGAGGGAAGAAAAATCGACAACGTTGGACTTGAAATGAAAGAAACATTGTTGATGCATAGTGATGAGGGTTTGATTTTTTTTTTCCAGTTGGAATTTTGATAAAAGGACCTATGTCTATCGTAAAGTATATTTTTCCTATTTATTAATATTTGTGTTTTTGAGTAACTACTGAAAATAACAGTTGATCAAGTTTAGCCGTTTATTTCTTGTTTATCTGATTCCCCGAACGAAATATGAGATGAATAGACAAATAAACGTTTGTTCTAAGTAAAAATATATAATTAACTGTTTTTTTATAGTTTTCTCTGAAACGGCTCTATATATTTAAATTTAAACATTAAATTATAAAGAATATGTTTTTAATTTATACAGATTTTCGGAAAAAATGTCTAAAAAATGTCATCAAAACCATTTCCGTTTATTTGGATCAATAAAGAATCGTATCTTGCCTTATTATATAAAAAAAAAAAATGACGAATATATTCCCGTCTATTGGCAATTAAAAGAATATTTAACTTCAGTGCAATCACTATTTTCAATAATTAAAAATAAAATAACATCCATGCACTCGTTGCTTTAAATCGTCTTGACGAGCTAAATCTACATTTATTTATTTTTTTTTTGGTAATTAATATTAACTTACCAATGAGAGTTATTTTATTTGAAAAATCCATAAAGTGGTTTTCAATACCCTCCATGTATAACTGATGCATTTAAATAAAACAACTGATTCATTTATTTTTATTATAATTAAACTATGTTATGAATCAACAGCAGCATATCAGATGCCTTCAAAGTTGGTTGTATTTGTTAATCTGAGTTACTGAATAGTTGTAAATAATAAAATAATATTTTTAAGAGTTAAATTTATCATAAACAATATCAACGTTATTTGGTATTGAAAGAAAGGATTAAGAAGAAATACATGAAACTTTCTTACTTGGAAATGTAGCTTTGTCATTTTTAATGGAATATACATTTTTTTCATAACATTCCATTTGTTTTTAGAAAATTAGATGGTAAAATATATTTTTAAATCATATACAATACAGAATATAAAGAGTATTACATTTGCGTTAAACAAATCTAAAGAACCTCTTTTTATCAAACAAGACTCTTGGTAGGTTTATCGAAGAACAAAATATAATTTTTTACATTGTAAAACAACTTTGATGTGTTGAGTCGCATTGTACATTATTAGACAGAATTTGTAAGTCTACATATTTACAAACACTTATACGTGTGAACAACCTTCAGTTGCATGAAACACATCAAGTCACAACCATGGGCGTCCGCATAAAACTTTCTTGGGGGGGGGGGCAAAAAATCGATTAACTTTCCAGGAGGGGGGCAAAAAATTGTTAGTAATGTTTTAATGTAGTTTTAATTTACTGTAGAGTATTTGTATGGTGAACGAACGGACAGGACATCAGCTTAGTTACTTTCTCTTTACTTTAATACATTTTTTGTCTATTTTTGTCTAAACATTTTTTATCCATTCAATCCAGGGGGGGGGCAAGTGCCCCCCTTAACCCCCCCCCCCTGCGGGCGCCAATGGTTACAAGTCTGAACCCGAATTACTGATATTCATCTGGAACAGTGTTTGCGTTTAGCAACATTTGTCGAGAGTGATACCGTATTTGAAAACAACGTAGAGGAACATACCCTTGATGACATTCATTACATGATTTATCTTTGCATTCTTCAGCACCTTGTAGCATCGTCACCAGAGTTGTGTCTGTTTTTGTAGTCGATGTTTGCCTTGGAGGAAACCATGGACTATGGCAAAGAGTGTGGCGTTTACTTCCTTCTCTCTTTCATTATTATCTAAACCTTCAACTATAAAATAATTATAGTTAAATCATTTTAAAATGGTAAATAATCAACGGTCATACATACATAAATTCATTATAAAAATGCTAGAATTTATTACTCATGGTTCTTATTTAAATTTGCCACTTCTCTATTACAAAATCATATGAAAAAGTATTTAATTAAATTCATTAAACATCATGCATTTACAATATTTAGTGT